AATCCAATTAAAAAATGGGCAAAGGACCTAAATAGACACTTCTCCAAAGAGGACACACAGATGGCTAAGAGACATATGAAAAAATGCTCAATGTTGCTAATTACCAGAGAGATGCAAATTAAAACCACAATGAGGTATCACCTCACCCCTGTCAGAATGGCTCCATCAACAAGTCAACAAACTACAGGTGCTGGCGAGGGTGTGGGGAAAGGGGACCCTAGTGCACTGCTGGTGGGAATGCAGACTGGGGCAGCCACTGTGGAAAGCAGTATGGAGGTTCCTCAAAGATTAAAAATTGACCTGCCATTTGACTCAGTGATCCCACTTCTAGGAATATATCCTAAGGAACCCCAAACACCAATCACAAAGAACTTATGCACCTCTATGTTCATAGCAGTGCAATTCACAATAGCTAAGATCTGGAAACAGCCCAAGTGCCATCAGTAGATGAGTGGATAAAAAGCTGTGGCACATTTACACCATGGAGAACTATGCAGTTGTAAAGAAGAAGGACCTTTGAGCCTTTGGCACAGCATGGAGGGAACTGGAGAGTATTATGCTAAGTGAAATGAGCCAGTCGGAGAAGGACAAGTACCACATGATCTCACTTATATGTGGAATATAATAAACAAAATAAACTGATGAACAAAGTGGATCCATAGACATAGAAGCTTGGAACAAACTGAGGGATCTCAGAGGGAAGGTGGGGAGGGGCGTGTGGGTGGGGAGAGATTAATCAAAGAACTTACATATTTATGGGCATGGCCCATGGACGTGGACATTGGTATGGGGAGAGCCTGGGGGTGGGATGGATGTGGAGTGGAGGGGATCAGTGGGGTTAAAAGGGGGACATCTGTAATGGTCTCAACAATAAAGATAAAGAAACATTGAAAAAATAAAGAAAAAAAGAAATAGTCTAACAAGAGAGTTTATTCTATATATATTAAACAAACAAGCAAACAAAAAACACTGACTAGACAGAATGTGTCCCTAAGTTCAGTGCATATGATATTGGTGTTTTACAAATTTTGCATCATTTAACATCAAAACCAGAATAATCTTTTTTAACTTAATGGTACTTTCAATCTGTTATGGGTTAAATGTTCTTACGTTCAAAGGAAAAGAAGCCTTAGTGTTTCAGTTTTGTTTTGTTTTTAATCTTCACTCAAGGATATTTTTTATAGATTTTATGGGGCGGGGGGAGGGAAACATCGATGTGGGCGAAAAATGTCGATTGGTTGCCTCCTGCACTTGCCCTGACTGGAGATCAAACTCGAAACCTTTTTGGTGTATGAGACTATACTCAACCAATTGAGCCACCTGGCTGGTCTTGCAGCTTTATTTGTAATAATGTTTTCAATTTTTAAAAGATTTTCTCTTGGGCATAAAAAATGGCAATTGATATAAATTTTCAAAATTTTCTATTAAGCCTCTGAACCTTGAGAGAAAAGAAATGTGCATATGTTGAAGTTAATGTCCAATACATCCAGGTTTACTAAGATACTTGAAATTTCTTCTGAGATCACTCTGGTTTGTTGTAATAAATATCTAGAACAAAACAAATATTTTTCTACTCTTTTTCTTTTATATTGCCTTAATAAATCTGTTAGTACATATAAAGATTCAGCAGTATTTTAAAACTCTTCACCTGCTAGGACCCCATAATCCAATTGATTTTCTGATAACATATCATAGTAATTCAAATAAACTGTTAAGTATAGTGAAATAAATAGAGAGCTCTGTTGGTATTTCATCAAGACAGGCAGAGTGGTAATTTTCTTTGGTTTTCTGTTGTCTGAAATTCATGTATCTTATTAACACCAGGCAGGTGATTTCTTTATGTCAAGCTTTTCATGATCAAGTTGTTATCACATTTATTTCAGTGACGCTAAGTCTGGCTGCCCCAATTAAAGATCTGAGACTTGTAGTGCATTCTTAAGGCAAAGTCCAAAAAATTCAATCACAGAATGCATTAAAAGCCCCTATCCGGTATAGGCCTGGAAGTATCAGACATATCAGGCAGAGAGGAAAAAATATTTTAGATTAAATGTATACTTTCAGATGGTGTCAAAGACTGATCCATTATATGACTGTGCTGTAGCAAGAGGGGAGCCCTGTATATTACCATAAGATAATTCCTCAATAAGGTCAGTTAACATTTACATATACTGGTTAGTTTATCACTGACTATAGGAATGTGGTGTTAACTTTTTTTTTCTTTCTAATACCTTGCCACCATCACTATTAACAAAGGTAAAGCGCTTATAGAGTGCCTATCATGAATGAGGTCTAAAAACTAAATATATATATTTAATCTCAACAACACATCTTTGAGGTAGGTAACATTATTATCCCCACTTCACAGATGAGGAAACTGAGGCATATGAGCTAAGTAACTTGTCCACAGTGCCATGACTAGAAAGTGGTAGAGCTGTAATTTGAACCCCGACAGTCTGGCTCCAGAGTTCTGGCTTATAACCACCATTCTCTGCTGTCTGAGATGTTTATCATTGTTCCTATTTTTGTGTTTTAGTATGCTAAATTTCCAACTGGTAACAACGGTGTCTTTAAACCAACTACCCTGTAGCGTTCAAACACGTCAACTGCATATGCACAGGTGGATGGAATGATAAAACCATATATTAAAAACCTTTCACGATAAAATAAAAATGGAGACCTAGCTCGAATATGTTGGATATCAGACAGTCTGGGGGGAAAAATAACTACAGTCTATCTAGTTTCAAGTGAGCAAAGAGAATTATATCTAGGATAATTGACCTTCTGCCACTGACAGCCCATTCACTGGCTGCCAACCCCGTCTATCTCCCTGGATGGTGGTAAAACGTTTCTGGACAAGCAATCCCATCGTATAATATGTAGAGTCATATTAAAATATCAACTAGCATTGGATTTTCCACATAAAGCCTATATAATCGAACTAAAAGTGTGGGAGGCCGGTGGAAGCAGTGAGGGACAGTC